GGGATTGGGATTTCGAACCGAACATTTTTTAAACCAAAAACAAAAAAACTTGGAGATGTTAGTTAAAGGGAAATAGATGAAGCGTCAGGAATAACTAGGAAAACAAATGGAACTAGAACAATCTACCCCGGTGGACGAAATAAAGAGTTCGGTTTGAAATTGTAATAATCTGAAGAAGGCCGAGGAGTATAACGACGGAAACGTTGTGAATATGTTAATGAAAATAAGGATAACAGTCATAATAATGTAAATAATCATAATACCTCATTTCAGAGATATAGACAGAGGAATAAAATTCCTTATAACTCGATGGCGGAAATGTATAGTTGTTAAAGGTTCCTATTTTGACCTATTTAAACAATCTTTAAATACATTAATTCGGGAATAAACGTTGACTCTTAAATTGGAAATTGTTCTACGAACAACCTAGTAGATTGGCAACTAGATCTCACCATTTTACTGTTGAAATTGCTAGATATAACCGTAAGTTCTATTCTAGTAGGGTCTTCTCTCGCATTTCTCGCCTGGAGAACTCGCTATTTAAATGATAGTTTTCATTTCTCTATCCAAAAATCCGGCTCTTTTTATTGTCCATTCGCCTCCGTAACATTTTCTCAGTGTATTTCACTTTAACTAACACCTTATGTCTTAGTAGCTTTATCATCTTGTTTGGGGTGAAATGATTTTAAAAATATTCAGAAATCTTTGCTGCCGGATGTAGTTTATCGTCAGGCCCTAAACTATTTATTATAGAAGGCAAGCAAGGTTATGCTAGGGGGATTTTACACCGTGAGATGTTACGAATCACAAATTTTAACTTGAGAACTGGATCCATGTACTTGAACAGTCTCGTTGGATATCGACTTCCAGATCTTGGTTGGCTGCTTGATTCATTCTCTCTTGTTTATCAAGCATTTGCAGGTTATTTAAAGCCAGAAAATATTTTTATATTGTAAGAATTTTGTTCTGGAATAATAATAGATTAGTGATACAATTTTTACTAATTAACCCATAGCTGAAGGGAGAAGAGGTAGTTTCAAACCAAAGGTATTTGCGCGTAAGTGGCAATAACAGCCACAACTGGAATTGGAACTCGGCTCTCGGATTAACAATTCCGAACCATTACCGATTAAAAATTCCGCACACACAAGCTTAGCACCAGATATTTCAAAGTGGTCACCCATCTAGGTAATGACATTATTCGACGTAGCTTAACAGTGATCGTGGGGTGGGGGTACCGATGTTTCAACGTAATATGTCCGTAAGCCTTGACTTTCAGGCTTTCATAGCGTTCAACCCGTTCAGAAATATTCAACCGTTTTCTCAGATTAGTGATTAAAAATGGATCCAGGCGAATAAATCCTTTAAGTCTTAAGGAAAAACAATCCATGATCAAAATCTCTAAACTGGAAAGTGAGAAGACAAGAAATATTTGATAAATTTCAACTGACAATAAATGCCGAATCTTTAGCTCAAAGAAATGATGAATTGCCCCCGTTGCCATAACATGTAACTGCAGTCAGTGTGTCTTGAGCAAGCCAGTATGACGGGGCCAATATCTTTTCTGGTTGGATTTTGCCCTACCAAACCTAAGGATTACATTCTTCCCTGTTATTTAACCCATAAGTTGGGGAAGATGGTTTCTTTCCTTTTTCAAAGAGTATTAGTGCAAAGTAAAGGAAACAGACAATGTCAGGATTTTAACTCGGCAAACCGATTCCACTTGTTGTGCCGATAACCGTTATGACACCGAACATCGATGAAGCAAAGAAAAGCCCAGGATATCCCCTTCTCTATGTGCTGTGTTCACTCGGGACGGCGGCGATCATGGTCCTCCACTATTTCCTGTCCTTTGTAGATCTATATTAAATTCTGTCATTTCTAACCTTTTCCGCATACTATTTTCTCAAGAAACTCAAGAATGTTACACGCTGCTTTCCTCTGTCCCTCTTGTCGTCAATCTGTCTTGTGAGTATTAAATTTTCCAAGCCCTGTTTTCTCATTAGGTTTCCCATAAATTTCAGTTACCTTTTTCCAGATGTTAAATATAAGTTTCCTTTTTTTTTTCATTTTCTCTAAAACCTGGTCATTGTTCGTATATCCGGCCCAGGCTATCAATGGATTACACTTGCTGCGCCGATTACCAATACAGTACCTGCACATAGGAGTAACAAGAGGTAAACTTAATATTTCAAAAGCACTGAATATACCTTGCTGAGGTTGGGGGCATCTCTTTGGCAGATTTCCCCTCGAGCAAGCTATAAATAAATGGATAGATATTTACTAAATTAGGCTTTGGCTGTAAGCCACGATTTTATGGAGAACCAACGCGTGGAACGCAGTCTTTGCGAACGGGTCTCCAGAACAACGTGAGAGGTGCTAAATTCAAATGGATTTTAGAAAGATCGTGGAATGGAGTTAATGGCAGAACTTGAAAGGAAATTAAGGAACATATAACGAAGTGAGAATTAAGAAAATTACACTAATGGGAAGCGAATGAAGGGTTCATGCGCGTACACACACACACACACACATATATATATATATATATATATATATATATATATATATGATTAAAGTAACACATCCATTAGTATATTAAAATATTAAATGCACAAAAAGAGCTCAATGCATTTATTATTACAGAGCAATTTATACACAATAAAATCCAAAATCGCCTCATATGAAAACAGATACATAATACTACTGACCAACTCTGTCACGTCCACTATCAAGAATAACCTATCCCATCTAAATAATCTTAGAATAGTTACAAACTCTTCCAAACCATTATGGATATACTAAGATCTTCAAACACTAATAATATATATATATATATATATATATATATATATATATATATATATATATATATATATATATATATATAAAGTTACCAGCTGACATGAAGTGGAAAGACTATATTGAATCCATTGTTAGGTCAGCTGCTGAGAAAGTGGGTTCAATGTGTCTTGCGAGACAATTTTTCTCTCAGAGTCTGACTTACTTATTTATAAGTCTACCATTCATCCCTGCTTAGAATATTTCTGCCACATATGGTCCGGTGCCCCTGCTATTTACCTCGAGCTCCTTGATAAGATCCAAAGAAGAATCAGCAATATTTTCGGCCCTGATCTGGCTGCTTGGCTTCAAACGCATTCCTATCCGTTGTAAGGTTGACTCCCTGTGTCTTTTCTATAAATACTTTCGTCTGAGCTCTTCGCTATAGCGCACCTAATTGATTTTTAATTTAATAATCGATTTTTTTTAATGATAAATAAAATACGAAACCAGTAATTTTTTCTAAAAAGGAAAAAAACATTGAGCTTGATAAACAATGAGAGTTTATTGAAAATAATCCTTTTTTTGTTTTTTCCTTCCACTAGAATTTCACAATAATATCACTTTTACAGATCAACAATGATTTTTTTTAAAGATTCAGGAGAAAAACCTTTTGATTCTTACTAAACAAAAGTTGTTAAATATTTTCTTTTTATTTATTTATGTCTCTGCTATTTACCTTGAGCTTCTCGATAAGAGACAAATGAAGAATCTGCAATATTATTGATCCTGATCTGGCAACTCTTTCCCACCGATGTAAGGTTACCTCTCTATGTCTTTTCTATAAATTTGAATGAGCTCTTTGCTATGGTAATTTTTTGAATTTAAGCACAGCACGACAAAAGACGGCGAGATCTCATCAATTTATACTTGAGCTGGCTAGATGTAGCTGTAAATTCAATGCTAATAGCTTCTTTTCTCACACATATTGCTTATGGAACTCCCTTCTGGCTCCATACTTTCCAGCCAAAAATTTAAATGCAATGTCAATCGCTATCTACTGTCCACCTGATTGCTCATTTTTTTCATTCTGCTCATCATTAATGTTTCTGACCTAATTCCCTAATTCTCCAACACCTCGAAACTGCTTATGTTTAGTGGCATTACTGCCTTGCTTGGGGTAATACCGGTTTTTTAAAAAAATGAAGAATCAGCAATATGTATGTATGTAGGAGGATCAAATATAGATCAAATATGGATCGGAATCCGACAGAATGAAAAGATAAAGAACAAATAGGAAACATTTATCAATCTGACATGTTTCACTTTTATTAAAGCTTCATCAGAGAATGAGATATAGAGAAAAAGAAGAAATTATGTGTTTGATACATATATGTATATGTGCGCATGTGTGTGTGTGTGATAAAATAAAAAACAAATACGAAATGTTTTTCAATCTAACATGTTTCACTTTTATTAAAGTTTCATCAGAGAATTTGACATGGAGAAAGAAAAAAAAGAAATTATGGTATTTTTACTTTTGTGTTGATTGATTTTATGTCTGGTCAATCATGTTTCGCACGCATTAGACAGTTTTAAACAAATGTTAGTATAATTTTGGGCATTCCGAATTAATGTAAAGGCGACACGTCCATTCGAAAAAAAAACTAACGGCTTCCAATTCTACCTGAAAAACCATAAATATTGTTATATGTGTGTAAGTATATAATAATTCTAGGTTGTCTGTATGGGATTCAGATGATAATGTATATTCGTAAATATGTGTGTGTGTGTGTGTGTGTGTGTGTGTTTGCATAGTAGTTATTGTGTTTGGTGGTTTTTTGTGTGTTGATTTGAGAACGTTTTCGCATAAACAACTTTAATTTTAGATACACATACGTTAGATTCTTTAAGAACGGATTCAATAAATGTTGGTGATGTAAAATGTTGGTTGCGAAAAACTAAGAAACAGAATGTCTACTATACATACACAAATAGGTGTGTATGTATAGGGTTATGTATGTGTGTGTGTGTGTGTGTGTGTGTGTGTGTGTGTGTGTGTGTGTGTGTGTAAATATGTAGCCAGCAAGGATCGAACACGACGTATTGTAACTCTGTATTGGGTTTAAAATAAAGGAGCAGGAAATTCCCTGGTGTTCGTCTTTAAGCTGCAGCCCAGTGTGGCACTCCTATGAAGGTGGGGATATGAAAAGAAATACCTGCACAGAATAAGTGACATCCACATTTTGCATCAGAAAGAATGCAAATATATGCAAATATATACGACAATAATTAAAAAAAGATAAAATAAGATAGATAGATAGATAGATAGATAGATAGATAGATAGATAGATATGAACAGACATAAATAAATTACGAAAGCACAATAATATGAAGATATTTATTTACTTAGCAAATATTGATTTTACACATAATCTTCTTTGTCAATGCACAATTCATTAACCAATATTAATTACAATGATCAAAAATTACCCAGTGAAATTTGAAGATCAAAATTCACTTCCCTTTACGGTTCTCTCAAAGCTGATACCTTTTTTACTGAAAAAATATTCAACAATTAATAACAACAGCGCTTCATCTCAGAAATTTCGTCTTCGGTCAATACAAATACAAATTAATGATCTAAATTCCGTAAATGTTACAAACGATTTAGAAATATTGTGTTGCGCCAAATGTTGCTCGTGTATCAAAATGTTTCCGTCCAGATGTGTAGCATCCAAAATGTTCCTATTTTCTCAATCTACTGTTTATTAACCTTAGTAGCAATTCATAACCACCGAGCGATAAACTGATAGAAAAACAAGCTCAGTGGAATAGATACGAACCAAGCGAGAGATCGATGGATATAGCTTGGCAGCGAGACGTGTACATATATCAGAAATTGTTTAACCTTTGCTTGTTCGCCTTCTTGGCACTGACCTTTCCTCGGGTGCATAGCCGGCGTCCACGCAACGGCGGCCATTCTTGAAGATGTCTCGGTACGGACACTTAAGTGAATGGGCGCACGCGTTTCTAGCGAAAGCGGTTGGGTTAAGCGCACAGGCATGTATTATGTATATTGTTGGGGTCAAGCAACACAGAACGGTTGCTGGTGGCTAATTAATTGCATAGAGAAAACGGAAGGGGGTAAATTAGTCACGTCAGTTAGGTTGGAAAGAGTAGAAAGAAAGAAGAAAAGTCAAGTGGTAGGAAGACAGTCATAAATGCATTTAGGAATAAGAAGGGAAAAGACGGTAAAGGATTTAGAACAGCGGTTGAAGAAATACAGAAAAATAAGGAAAAGAAACTAAAGGGAGAGTTGAAGAATGAAGGGGGTTATGAAGAAAGCCATTGATGGAAAGCTAGAAGAATCAAGAATGGTAAAAAGAACAGAAGGAATTGAGATCTGTAAAGAGAAATAAAATTACCAATAAGGAAAATAAAAGTGAAAGTGAAAGTATAAGGAAAAGAATAAAGGTCAAGGAATGTGACAAAACCCTGAAAAATACAGGAATATATCAGGAATGGAAATGATGGATTATTAAAAAGGTTTACGAATGAATAAAAAAAAGAAACGGATGGAAGTATATCAAAAAGAACATTAATAAATAAAAACAAATAGATAACAAAATAAAACAGGAAACGAAAGACAAAGTTTCTAACCATAGAGTTCATCAATAAATCCATAGCTGGTTCAGTTGTTGATCTGAGATTTTCACTGTATAATATTCGACCAATGTGATAAACATTCACTGATGAATTAAGTAAATTTACAAAGAGAATATGTTTTAAAATATCTTCTGTATGAAATCAATGTTTTTTTCTCGTAGTTGACATAACGAGTCACATTCCCTGAACTGCCATTTTGTCTCTTAACCCCCCCCGGCGTAAAATATTCCCCCACCCTCTCCTTTTCCACAAATACTTTCATAATAATTGTTTGATGACCTCTCCTCTGTAAATATTAGTTGGGGCTTCATTTTTAATGATGTTATTTTTAAATAAATTGTGGACTAGTTAGGAGACTCTGCGGTATTATGGTGGGTGTAGTAAGAATGGTAATTTAGAATGTGATGTTTTGGCGTCAGGAATACTGTTGTAACCTAGAAAAGATTACTGAATGAGGACTAACCAATAATCTTTATAATAAAAAAAAATACAATACTCGCCAGCGGCGTGAAGTCGGTAAACCACTGCTAGTGGTGGACTATTTAGACAGCATATTACTCCCACGTGTCCAACTTATTTATGAGGATTGTCACATATCCATTAGTGTTCATAGGTACGGTATATAAGAAATACTGTGGTATGTTTGGGTCAATAATCGTAGATTAAATTTAAGATAAGACAGATTAAAGACCAATTTTCGCTTATCCCTACTTTGGGACTTGCGCCACATTTATATATCATAACAAAATAAATATTATTCTCCTCTATTGGACGTAGATTCTATGTATTTAAGCGCAGTACTTGATTGATGGCAAGATCTTCTCATTTTACAGTTGAAACGATTAGATGTAGACGTAAGTTCTATATAAACAGTTTCTTTTCTCACGAGAAAAGTAAACGGAAAAGAGTTCGACAAACTTTCCAAACAAGTTTGGTCTTAAAAAATTTAAAAGCAATTTCAATCGTTATCTTCTGTCTTCTTAATTTCTCTTCTTTTACTAATCACGGTCCTTAATATTGTTTTTGTTATATTCTTTTACACTCAGTAACCCTCCCCCGTGTGTTAGTGGCTTTGTTGCCTTTGTTTGGGTGAAAAGATTTAAAAGATAAGGGAGATAGATATGAAGAAAAATGAACGAAATTGAAAGATTAAAAAGAAAAACTGAAGAGATATCGAATGATACAAAGAAAGGAAAAATGAAATGGACAGGCGAAGACCAAAAGAAAAAATTTTTAAAAGCAGCAATTAAATGAATCTAATTAATAAAAAATGATTTGAGAAATGAAAAATGGGAAGACGTAACATCAATAAAAGATATAGCGGAAAAAGAAAATGTACCAAGACTTAGAAGAAAGAGAGAAAAAGAATAGCTTAAGGAATGGCAAATTGAATCTCATCAAGCGAACGGCAACGAAGCTGTTGCCATGAGCTGTTAGCGTTGTGTGGCTATTTAGAAAAGTCAATGTAGATCTGCAGATTCCTGGCGGTAACCATTTGTATAGAATCAGTCGAGCATGAACGACGCGCCCATTCACTAGCCGGGCCTGGTAGTTCACTGAGATGACCAAAAGTGTGATCCTTTCTTGTCGCTTCTTTTCTTTCGCTTAATCTTTTGTTCATGAAACGTCAGGTGCGTGGAGAATCGTGCGTGTTCGACTGAATGAATAGACGAACGGATTAATGGCTGGGTGGATGGATGAAGATAACATCCCAGGGACTGAAATAGAGGGGGATGAAAACATCGGGTACCTTGATGAATGAGGCTTGAGAATATTGCCATAATCTCTGTGGCACGGTGCCAAAAGAAACGGCACGCCGAAAAAAGGCTGTTGTCCCCTTGTTACTGATGAAAGGACATGAAGACCTTTGGTGCCAATGAATAGAAAATCAGCGTAGAAAAAATGATAGGATATATATATATATATATATATATATATATATTATAAATTAACTGATTTAAAATATGTTTTTTCGCTACACAGTAATAACCATGTTTCAAAAATGGAAGCTAAAAGTTTCAAATTTAATTTTGTAATTAAATTACAAAACATTAGTTCCATTTCATCCTCAAGCGAATTTTGGAGTAACTTATCTTTTAAATTTACTGAGTTTTCATTAATTTACTGAGTTATTACTGAATTATGATTTTTCTGTGGCTTTAAAGCCACAGAAATATCATAATTCACTGTTTCCAAGGATACAGAGAGATCCAACTAGGAACTAATGTTTTTAATTTAATTACAAAATTAAGTTTGAAACTTTTAGCTTCCATTGTTGAAACATAGTTTTTAAAACATATTTTAAATCAGTTAATTTATAATATTAATAGTCTGTAAATTTACATTGAGCTCTATTTTTGTAAAAATAAGAACACTATATATACATATATATATATATATATATATATATATATATATATATATATATATATATATATATATATATATGTATATATATATATATATATATATATATGTGTGTGTGTGTGTACGTATGGCACTTTATTTGTCAATGTTCTAGTTATTGGTGACAAAGAATCATTATAAGATTCAAGATTATCCAGCTCTCAGGCAGAATCTACGCATCTCACTAAAATTGTTGTATCAGGGTAATTCCATGGTATTGATGTTTCGAGTAAGTAGTTTTTGAGTAGCGGACAATATTTGCTCCCTTCTCCACGCACAGATGAAGTCACACTTTGAAATAAGACAGTGTTCTGCTGAATTGTCTGATTGCATAATGTTTATATATATATATATATATATATATATATATATATATATATAAAAGCTTCCTGAATCTAAAAAAAAATTTTTTAAATTTTTTCTGTTAATTTTACATCTAATTATCATACCCCTCAGAACAACGCCCTTTCTAAAAATACTTGAATATGTCATATTTGTCTACAATCTCGATTTTAGTTGTTACTGTTGTTGAAAATCTTCAAGTGATGAGGTTTCTGTTACCTTGGGCAGTTCCTTTTGATTCTGTAGTGCTATTTCGGAGCAGGTGTAACGCCATATGTTGGTAATGGTACTGGTAATATTAACCGTTTCCCTATAAGGAAACATTTGCCATTCATTAACCGAGAGCCAGTGCTGCTTTCAGTTGAAATTTATAAAAATCTTTCTCTTAAAACATTCTTTCAGAAAAACTGGTTTCTCAAGTCTACTAACTGTAATAGTTTATTTTTTTCCGGTATTGATAGATATTTCTTTCCTAACCTTTTGTGTAGTGTGAAAGTTCAACATCTTGATTATGCAATTATTTGCTGTTCGAGTTATATGTCCTATCCATTTTAGCTGTTGCCGCTGTTGAAAGTCCTCAAGTAATGTGGTTTCTGTTATTTGGTACAGTTTTTGTTTGTGATTTTCTAGCACCAATCCACGAGATTCCAAGAATGATAGTTCTCTCTAAGAATATTGAATTAGATCTAAAGGACAACCCCCAATATCAGATCGACGAAACCAAAGATGTCACAAACCAAAGAAAATTACAATCCAAGCAACAGCAAACGCCAATCCTCCCCATCACCACTAACAAATTAAATAACTCCTCACCTCCAAAAATGAATTCTCCTTTAAAGAATCAACACAACAAAAAGAAACAGAAATTGTCTTAATTGAAAATGAAAACAAATTCGAACTGATGGAAACTGATAACCAAGAAAGACATTCAAGACAGAGAAGTTCAAAA